CTTTCCCTAGGGGACAACAAATCATTTGATTAGCCAATACAATTTTTTTTAAAATTTAAAATGGTATTCTATAATGTGATAAACTGAATATCTATTGATGTACTGCAAAATTATACCGTTGATTGTTATTTATTTATTTTTTAAGTTAGTGATTATATAATTATTATGTTATTGAGTATTGATAAATTATTTGAGTTCGTATATGAAGACTTTTATTATTATTAATTATTATTGATATTAATAATTTATTTTATCCATAAAAATATTACAGTTATATGAAAATTCAAAAACCAATCAAATTCAAACTAAAATATGTTTAAACAAAATTGAATTGATGGTAAAAAAATAAAACCAAAAAGATCAAATCCAATGATTTTTCCTCTCAAAATTGATCCAAATATGCAAACAATCTTAGAAGAGACAATGAAAAAATAACACATTTTTTTTCTTTTTTAATTACAATACATCATAAGCATAAAAAAAAACATCTTAACTTTTTCCATGTTATAATATTTTTATCGTATAAGATTTGATTTTTTTAATTACTTTAATTAAATCGAGTCAATTATTTTTAACTTTTAATGATTTCAAAGAAGCATGTGTAGGAGTTATGTTTGACGACATTAAATATTTTATTAACGTATATCTTTCTTTTTCTTTTCCTTTTCCTTTTTGTTACTTGAATGAAGAGAGGCAAAAGTCGTAAAGGCAGGCAAAGGACCTAATCATTTGGGGGAAGGATGAAGGGAAATAAATTGTTTTCCAATGCTTTACCTTTGCTATCATTTCACGATCATCATCACTTTAAAAGGAAGCTTTATAGTTGTCTCCGATTGGGACCATTTCAAAACGACAATGTCTTATTCAAAAACCTCCAAGTCATTCCTCACACTTTTGTTTTTGGCTACGTACTAGGATTTTTTATTTTTTATTTTTTATTTTTAAGATATACTACTTCTTTTTTTATAAAAAAAAATAAAAATTAGAGAAGCATGAAATTTTCTTTAAAATAACATACGTACTTAATACAAAAATTTACAAATGAAATGGGATTTTTTTTATAAAAATAATTAAGATAGTTATTTCTAATGATTTAATATTAAGACTATTTGATATTTTATTTTGGTAAAATTTTGTACACTTCATCTGTATGATAAGAACTTATAAATATATATATATAT